CAGGCTATCCAGAAGAGAGCATGAAGGCGGTAGGCCCAACCGCGTGACCTTTTGAACGAAAATTGAATTAACTTATTCTCTCAACTGAATGTGTCATGATGGCGGCTTAATCGAATGGCCATGAAGACGGGTTGTAGGTGAATGCGAAGACTGCAAAGACGATAGCATCGACTCGAGCTTCACATGAGGGCATTTCTTGGCCTGTTTTGTGGTAGCTGTCATCGTGGGGTTCCGGTAGGAGAGATAATCGAATCGCCGAGGGCGCCGTCTCCGGCATGATAAGTCCACAGGATTCGTAGGTATCAGTGTCTCTCATACGTACGGACTTAACTCCAAGGAGCTATAGGCATGGTAACATAGCCATCTCGTACATACGAGCTGCAACAGTGGTTGTTTTTTGGAAGAAATTAGTGTTATTAAGCTAATGGCACGGTAATTTACTTGTATAAATGGCCAGATGAAGATGAGTCTGGATTTTTTTTATTTCTAGAACGGTAGACAGCCCATCTCATATGAGTAAGCTAGTCAAGATGAATCAAAACGGAGACTCACCAGTTTCAATCAATCTTACACGTTTGGCTCCGAGTCATGGCAACCCTCGCGAATGAGATAGATCTGCCAGCCTCAAACATCGCTAACAAGTGCTAAATCCAACTCCGCCATACACAGAAATGAGGTGAACTTAATATCTGAAATGGAAGATATGAAAACCAAGATGGTGTGGCCTTTAGTATGGTCGCGGTCCTCTTTTAGTTCTATAGAATTTGCTTGAGCTTATATTCGCAACTTGGTTTTATTGTTAGGCAAACCTAGAGTAACACACTTTGGCCGAAGTCCATAGCATGTGTGATAATTTCTAGACTCGGACCGCGGACTTGGCACATTCCCAGACATTTTACCGATAGCATAGTCAGCGTCGTCAGTGAGCCTTGTCAATCTTAGCAGCTAACTGCACCTCGCCAACGAGACAATCGAGATCCACCCTTTGACCAATTGCCTGCCAAACAGTTGGTATATCTGTTCTTCGATCATGATGCATCTCTCTATCTTATATTTTCATATCGCCCCCTTCACTATCACAATTTCTTATTCGCCTATTTGGGCCTAGTTCATAAAAGCCCTTTTGGGCAGAATTCACACTCACTTCTGACGCCCTTATCCTTCCTCAAAATGAGCAGGATGTGCTTATCTAAGTCTGCTATTTTATCCCACAATCCTATTCGTCCAGATTTTTGTCTATTTAAACCGCCCTGCTGGAGAGTTTGGAACGAGAGGAGCATATCCTGGGAGCAGAGCGGATACGGAAGGAGTTGTTAACACGGCTGAGCAACCTTACAGTAAGACTTACCTGTTTCACACTCAACAGCAATATGTATGAGCGAATATTTAGACTACCGATGGGATCTCCATTCAAAAATCTTTTGGAAAATGTATACATGGACAAATTGGAAATGGAATTCTAGAATTTATCGTTGTAACCAAGACTGCTTACGCGATATGTGGATGACTAACGGCACTTTGGTCGCAAAGTAAGGAAAATTTGGATAAATTGATCAACTTTATTAACAAACTTAATGAAAGAAGTAAATACAAAATGGAGGTGGATGAGAATGGCAGACTAACTTTCCTGGATGTTACAAACATTTGCTCTAACAAGATAAGTAAATGAAAGAAATAATATGTGGGAATAATCCTCAATATCCGGTCTCATCACGACTGTAGAATAAAGATCGGAATATTGAGTGATCGGATCACCATAAGAAGAACGCTAACGGAAATAGAGTTCGGGGATGATAAGTTGGATCATGTGTTTTAGATGTTCTTTATTAAGATGAACCCCAGAGAAACCATAGAAATATATGTAGAGGTCTAAGAAGCAGCTAAGAATTTGGATATTATGAAACTAAAATCATAAATCGACAGGAAGACCAAAAGTGAATATTGAACTCAGACCGTTACAAAGAAAATGAAATATCCAGATTTTTACGAAGGAGAAAACAACTCTCTTCACCAGCCTGCGGACGCAAAGCAAGAAGGTTGACGAACTGGAGTGTTCGTGAGTTTATCACATCAAATGCTGAAATTGTGAGCAAAGTCTATGCAGAAACATGGATACGAAAAGATCCAAACTAGTGGAACACATTGAACAGACGGGACATGAAATCGACTGGAGATCGCCAGAAAGGCTGGCCGCATGAGGTGAAAATGAAAGAAAACGGATGATCCAAGAAGCCATCGATATGCTGGTTGAAAAAAATCTAGTCAACAGGAGACTTGAAGAGGGCAGGATTGGCGAAAACTTTGCATACTGCCTAAGCAAACTGGAAGCAGATCAAAGAACAGCAAGTTCAACAAAAACAAGACGACTAGATCAGAGTAACATTTTCTATTTTAGGAAAATAAGTCGCAAGGAGACCAGATAGGAAAAATCGGAAATCTATTCGAGGCGTCTACAGTGAGCCTGACCCAAAAAAAGTAGAACAACTATAACATTTTGGGGGTTGGCACGCAAGAGATTAGGACATAGGAAAGTCAGACTTGGTATTTTGGATAGAAAAGCGAAATATGAGGAAATTGGAGATTCGGCTAGCAGTGGACAAGTTCGTGAAGTAAAAGCTTGACGACAAGATTTATCCGGTGCACAGACCGAACGGTGATAAGTTAGTTTTCCGTCCAACTCGAGAATCCGCACTTTATGGTCTTGCTCAGTCAGGCTGGAGGGTGTGTGCTATCAAAATCTTAAGTCAAAAGTTGGATCATGCCACATCGAGTAACACGAATATGGTAGAGGGGATCGAGTGAAATCACTGAACCAGTTGGATTAGATGGATTCTACTAAACAAGAGGGAGACTCTGATAGGACCTTGATGATGAGGATTTCTAAATAAAATGGCAAACTTGGATGAACACTTCTAAGATAATATGAGTGGGGGATGAGTGAACCAGCGTGGAGTGTGAATAGCTCTTCCAAAAATCTACTCAAAAGGCGACGCCAAAATCAGTTTTAACTAAGAAAGTAAGAAATGGTGATAGTGAATGGGGTGATACGAGGATTTAGGATATGGAAATGCATCAGGATCGAAAGATACATACCCTAACTGTATATATGAAAAAAATGCGGGTTTTGAAGAATTTCCTGAGATAATGTTTTTGTGAAGATTTTCGTTTCGCATGGAAGTACATGCTGGAGAGGATCGTTAGTCAATCTCACCGGAAGACGTCGAGTGATTCGCGTAAATACAGTCCAAGATACATCTTGACTTAGTATAAACTTGAGGCTTTAACAATAATAAGTTTTAGCTCTGATGATGTCCATCATATGGTGAATGTAAGCTCAGCCTGTCTTCGTCCAAAACGTTGGACGATGGCTCGTGGACTGCATCAACCAGAACGTAGTATTAGGGTCAGATGACTGCGATACAACGCGAATTAGCCGGCGTCTTTTGATGCGATTGCCCTATGGAGCTGTTCATCCTGCCCTCCCATACGAAATGAAGTCTTGAAAAAAACTGTTCAGCAGATAATCGGTCAAACGTTCGACTTAACCTCCTTTTTAAAGAGTTTTAGTTTGGTGCTAAAAATAACAAGGCTCATTAACGATGCCGATTATGATGTTGGTAAAACGTCTGTAAATATACCAAGTCCACGGTCCAGGTCTGGAAATTACCACGCCTACTGTGAACTCTGCATAAACAATGGGAATGTACCACGTCCAGGGTCCGACTTTGGAAAGTATTATGCATACAATGGACTCCGGACTAGGTGC